ACAAAGCACAATAATCTTTAGTTTATTGATGTGCTACCAGGCTGTTGAAAGCATCAGATCAGTAATGTGCTTTGGTTAGGAAATTGGGGTCTAGGGAGAAATATTGGGAGTTACAGAGAGAACATCAGGGCTTGCAGAAAAAATATATTAGGAGTTAAAAGGGAAAAAAAAAATGTTTGTGGTGGGATTTTAGATTTTATGAAAAAAACCCTGAGATCTTGTAAGGATTCTGAAGGAAAACACATCTGGGGTGGACAGATGAACTTTGGCCCCAGTAGCCAAAAAGATTTATTTTTTGTGGGGGGAGGTGCTGCATATCATAATATAAATAACACACACAAATGCCAGACTTCCAGGAAAAGCACATTCTGAAGATATTCATTGCAAATAGCAAGAGCTCTTATTGCATGGTTTAATGAAAAAATTAGGTGGCCAGGATGGCAAAGCGAAACCTAGATTTGGTTTTAAAAGGTTAAAAATAGGGGCTTAATAAAATATCCCAGATGCTTTTCTAGTCTCCTTTGAAATCTTTACTTCCAATGATGAAAATAATAATTCAACATTTACTTTGAGCCCTGGGGAATTTTAAGACCTGTAAATTTTATTTTGGATGGATGACTGTCATCTCTTCATTCTCTTTCCTGAGCTCTTCTGTTCTTCCCTGTTTCATGTTGGATAAGGGATTCTGCCTTGGGCTTGTCATGCCAGACACCCCTCAGGAATTCCAGGTATAAGTCATGGGACAGTATACCGTCTCTGATGCTGAGAGAAATGAAACAATGTCTTGAGAGCTTTCTTTTAAGTGCTTGGAGAGTTTGAGTTTCCATTTGGAAAGGTTGACTTTTGGAAGCCATATTGACCCTAGGAATTAAGATTTGAGTCTCTTTATTAAATTCTTCCCATAGATTGGGATTTTTAGCTCTAGGAAGGTAAATACTTTGCTTGCTGACAGAGAGCTCATTTGGGAGCCAACCTTACATTAATATTATAATCATACTCAAACTTATTTTAGGAGTCAAAGGAGGATCATGAAAAAAAAAAAAAAAAAAAACCCTCCAATACATGAAAGGGAAATGTTGATTAAACTACTATCTTCACAACCCCAAATCCAAGCTAACCAAAGTTAAAAATATGGATAAATTTCTGATTTAGCTGTTTGGTATTTTTTTTTTTTTTTAAAAAGGATAAGATGAATGTAGGAGTTTGTGAATATGTCTGGACAGTAGGTGTGTATATGTGCAGGGGCGTGTGTAAGAGAGAGAGAGCAAGAGAACAAGAGATTGAGATTCTCTACCTTGCAATAAAAGATGGCAAGGTGATAAATTAGTGCTCTCAACTGAAATTGATTATTTTGTGTTCCCATCCAGTTCATACGGCAGCCACACAGATGCTCTGAAACACCTTAATGACACATTGGAGAAAACTTCTCAAGTGGGCCCCGTGCAGTGTGCTCTCCCATCCTCCCTGCATCAGCTCCCAGAGTGAACGGTTGTGCATGCTGCATACATTAGGGCAAGAGACACGCACAGAGATGTCTTCATTTTATATGTCAGGAATCCTTTAGACAATCCTAGGAGCGTAAAAGCTAAAATGACAAATGTCAGTGATTTTGTCTTTTCAAAGCTTGGATTTATCTATTCCCAGATCTCTGGAGAGGCAGCACAGAGAGCAAAAAGATGAAGCGGCATCAAGCCACCTAGAGGCAATCTTATCCAAGCCTGCCCAACAAAGCAAAGCAAAGTTATGAGGTTTATTGCCATAATTGTAGATTAAATGAAACTGCCTAGTTTACTCGCAGGAACCGAAAGGGACAAGTTATCAAAATATGTGAATTAAAAGAGTGCTAGTCAAGACAGAGCCATTACGACGAAGCACTCAGTTTTAAACAATTTAAGAAATCTCCTTATGCTAAAATTCCTAGTGGGATGTATTGATAACTGATAAAATATAATCAATTCCATTCCATTGTAATTGTGAGAATAGGTGATAATTTAAGAAAATTCAGAAATACATACAATCTAGAATTTTCAATAAATATTAAATTCTCAGTTAGTATGGGAATTTTTACAAGTACAGGAGGAAATTGAAAAGTAATATTTAACCACTTGAGGACCTTGCAGCTATGAAAGAAGACCCAAATTTTAATGTTTCTGTAAGACTATAACTGGCTCTATTGAGCTTTGCAAAGACTGATCAAATATGCTGAGTTATTTATACATTGTTTTCTATATGCTTAATAATCTGTGCCTATATGTTGAATAATTCCATATGCTTAATAATTCTGAATTTGTATTAACTCATTTTTAGTGTTCTGTAGAATTTAAACCTCATGCATTGATCATTTATATTTGGTGGTCTTAAACATTGGTCAGTTGTCACAAGAGTGATAGTGACTTGATCAATGATAGTGCCTTGATCGACTATAGGACACTCTTGTGACACAGGTAATGGTGTAAGTTCCTTTAATACAGATAAAGCCTACAGTTCACTACCCAAATGAATACACAGCCCTCAGCCCCTACCAATGTACTCTACAGCCTAGCAAGTGCCTCCCTCGAACAAGATCCTTCAATTTCCTGGAGATACTCAATCTTCTCACTCTCAGAAAGATTCTTTCCTCTCTTGGCCCCTTCCCCAACTTTTCTGAGTGCTATCTCTTCTCTTCCAGATCACCTGCTGCAAGAAACACTCTCTAATGCATCCCTGAGTGCAAAACTAGGTGACACAAAGGTGGAAGTCCAATGACCCTATTCTAGCAATGCTGGGTGACAGGCATGCCTTAGTCCTAATACTGCAACCTGATAATGCATCACTTACCTTAATGATGTCCACATAAGCAAGTGCTCCAGAAATGTATACCTTTCTCAAAGAAAATCTCAAAGCTTGTGTTTAAGCCAATGTGTTCACAAGAACACTGGTTGCTTACAGAATAGAAGTAGTCTCTTAGTAAGTAAAAGCAGCATTGAAACTTTTCCCATCAATTAAAGAGATAATCTCTCAGGTTTGTAATTGTTTAAAACTACATTGTTAATGCCTTCTAATAAGTGTTATCTTCAAGTTTAAAAGCCTCATTTAAATTAAAAACAGCTTCCCAAAATGCAAAAGGATTTTTTGTCTTGGCTGATATACCAAAAAGATTTGACTAGCTTAACAAAAGCAGCAGTAACATGATTAGTACCATGTATTTTGCTTCTCAAAATATTAATAGTTTCTCCAAGATTATCTATCCTAGATGGTCTTCTAAAGGTAAGGAGACCAGTATATTTCCTACTCACAAATGATGATAACTGAAATGTCAAGAACTCAAGTGACATGCTCATACTGGCTGGTGACTGAGCTTCGGCAGGTACAGCTAGACTACCACATGAGGAGTGGAGAGAGGTGGTAACTTGGCTGTGGTGTAACCAGTATCTCCAACCAAGTTTTTCAACCCTACACATTTTGGATGGTGGTAGAGCAAATAAAACTTTCACCTGTGTAATACAATTTATGAAGAGCTATTTTCAAGTAATTCTACCAGTGTCATTGCATTTCTGAAGTTCTATCCTCTGCTCTCTTGTGAAGCTGGGTGTCATGTGGACACTCCAAACACTTTGAAGTATCTCCTAGTACCAGTAGAAGGCCCTAAGCCCTTGTGCCCCAGTCTTTCACTGCTGCTAACAAAAAGCACGTTTGGAGATTTTTGAGGGAGAATGGAAACAAATTATTGATGGACAAGGAAGGCATATTACTTTGTACCTCACCTCATTTTGTTGATTAAGACCAGTGCATCCTGTTTTCCCTATGAGAACCACCATATCCTGAACAAATGGTTGTCAAACATCTTTTTTTTTTTTTTTTTAGTAGCAGTAGTAGTGACCCTTACATGATTGAAATCTTACATTGAGTTCCTTCCGTATAAACAGACAAATGCCATGCTTCCTTGGATGGGTATAACTCCTTGCTCCATGTTAGTGCCTCTTGAGATATCCCCTCAGAGCTCTATAACTCAGGAGCGCCTAGTTTGAAAATAATTCTCCTAAACAATTGAATTAGAAACATGCTGCCGTGAGCAGAGGCTCTTGCTAACTATATGTTATAGGGGAGTTGATTTAATCTTCCTCACTTGTTCATTCCCCTCTCAACATTTCTCCCCTCGAGCCCAACCTAAAACTCTCTCTTCCTGCTATTTGACTAAATATTTCCTCCTAACACAGAATTTCCTAGAAAAACTCCTCTTATCTTCATCTTAGTACAACCTCCAAGAATGCCCTTCTCATTCAATAGTAACTTAGTGAGTGGCTTCACTATGCCAGGTACTGAGAAACTTGAGGATTTGTGTAGGGAGGTCAGGAGGTTCAATTCCGTTGTATATAGCTCTGCCTTACTTTGCTTCCTATATAAACAAACCTTGGGTTATTCAGAGATGTTTAACCAAAAATGGAAAAATTCAAGAAGGTAAGAATTGTCATTTCCATGTGAATCTTCAATTTAATGGTACATGCACAATTTAAATAAGTGGAAAGTCACACATAATTATACTCAGGGAAGTGTAAGCAGACTTTGTAACATAGTTTGTTGCATTTCTTCATATTGAATGAAATGATAAATTATTTGAATAGTTCTATTATCTATCCTTAACTGAAACATACAGTGCCTGTCCTATTTCTTCAAAAAGCTTGTTAATATGCAATCACCTAGTACAACTGCTAAGTTTTTAAAGGTCACCCATGTTTTATTCATAAAGGGTGGTTTTCTGGAGGGGAAAAAGGTTACAATGTCATGTAATACCATATTCTGATGGAGGCTTTGCTTTCCAAGATGTGTTCTACCGGATTGGATGGGGAAAGAGTGAGATTTGGGGACAAAGAAGTGAATTGTTTCAGAGCTATCAGTAAAACTTCATTTAGAACCAAGGATACTTTGAAACTGGGGGAAAAGATTTATTCTCCTTTTAACCATCAGGTAAGCATGACAGCCTCTGTTACTTATACTCACAAATATTTGGTTTTCCCCTACAGCTAGGTGCCTGGAAGTCAATACTTCGCAGCCCTCTTGAAGTGGTAAGTGTAGCTATATGATTAGTTCTATCCTATGAAATGCAAGTAGGAGTGATTGCATCACCTGCAAACTGCAACATTTCATTCACGCTGAACCACAAGCTCCTTCTTCTTCTGTCATGACTACTGGGGCGGACAGTGTTCTAGATATATAGAGCAGTGTCTAGGTCATGAAGTTCCTGGTTTGAATGACCATTGCCCCAGTAATTTGCACGAATGCAAATTTGATCAGCACAATTCTGCATGGGGAAGAAATAAACATTTGCTGTGTTCAGTCACTAAAACTTTGAGGTGGTTGACATAGTGTAGCATTGCCCTTTCCTGACTAATATATGGACCAAGGCATATCTTTTTCACATATGAAAAAGTCAGCTCTCTTTTGGCTAAGCTTAATCACCAAAAGGGGCTCTAAAATTTACCTAGTACATCACCCTTTTATGGATGTTAGTTCAGTTTTCCAAGGTTGTAAAAGTGTTTTAGGAAATAGAGATAGAATAACAAATAATTCAGATATTTGATTCCTATTTTAAAGGTATTTGTATAGCATGTAGCCTGTATTTTAGAGGAGATGATAGTAGTTGATATTTCCAACCTTGGGTAATCTTATTCTTTCTGTTACTTTAATCTGCACTTCTATGTAGAAGACAGAATTAGTACCTCTAAGTATTTCTCCTTAAATTTCTCTATGTATCTCAAACTCACCCACAGAAACACAACACCCTCTCTTTCTGGGCACCATGTCTTATACATCATCACGCTCTCAACAATGTCAAATATATTTCTTTGTTTTAGAGTTCAATAAATGTTGGATTTTAATTGAATGAAAATTTAATTTCTATTTCTTCTTTTTTATTCATTTGCACTGTGTCTTTATAATCATTGGAATTAAAAATCTCAAAGCCATCCTCAATTTCTCCTTCTTTCTCAACACTAAAGGCAAAATGGCTACCGAGACCTTTCATGCTATCTTTCCTTTTTTTCCAAAATCTATCCTATTTCTTCCTGACTACTATTTCAGGCCTTCATCTCTCAACTGCAACCTATCTTCCTCTTTTAATCTCTGATTAGTATAACTTCTGTACTGTTTCCAGAACTAAACCTTATCTCCTCCCTTTCTCTCTATTTTATTTGTGTTTCTTTCTTAAAATTTTCCTTATAGTCAGAAAGGACTATATTTTCTGGAAAGAGAGATTGTGTATAGTGTGTTAGTTAAGAAGTTAGGTCTTAGAGCCCAGCAGATTGTGAAATCTGGCTTTTCTGTAGAATGGCTGCATGCTCGTGGAATAGTCAGTTAGAATTTCTGGGCTTCAGTTTAATCATATACATAGTTGTTGCCCGATGACAGCATGTTTTTAGATTTCTACTAAAACCTACTTATACACAAACACACGCACACACACATGCACACACATCCATACATTGGTGGAAATGATAAAAGATTTCTTAGGGAAGGTGAAGGAAAGGCCCTATATCACGTTGCTTCCAGTCGATGCCTCCCTCTATTACATCCAAGTATTCAATAAATATTGGGTATCAGAAATCTGTGTGCCTAATTCAGTCAAGTATTCGTGAATGGCAATCACTTACCACTTGCTTCTGGTGGTCTGTATGAATCAGAATAAATATCAGGGGCTTAACAGAATAAAAACGAATTGCTAGCTGAAGTCTTACTCTGATGCAGGTCAGGCAGGCCTCTTGCCGGCTCTCCTTTGGGCAATAACCATGGTCCAGGCACCTTCCCTCTTGTGCTGCCTAGGATGGAGAAGAGCTCAGGAGATGCATGGCCAGCTTAGAAGAGTCAGACATCATTTCTGCCCACATCCCATTGGCTTCAAGCAGGCATGTAACTGCAAAGTAGGCTGAGACACATAGCTGTTTTATACTTGATGAGGAAATGGGATTGGTGATCTAATCCTTTCCTTAAGATCTGTGTTATTACTAAAGTAAAATCTATGGCTGAGAAAAAAACTCAAGATAATATGTATGAATGATAATTTTTGTAAAAATTTGGTAAAGGATTAAGTTAAAATAAGATTTACTGGCATAATTAGAGATGAGACGCAACTTTGGCTCTGCCCTTTTCTTACTTCCCTTTTTGCAGCAGGCTGACGCTAACATGGCCCACCTGATTCTGAACTTCCGGTGTGTGCTGCCCTGTGCAATCCCCTCCCCTCCAGTGTGGGGTGGGACAGTGATTGCTGCTAATCGCTCAAATATGATAAATGAGAAGGGATTTCACTGCCTTGAGTGATTACATTACAAAAGATGGAAACTTCCTTTTCCTATTAGACTCTTTCTATTGCCTTCTGGATCTGTATGCTTTCACCAAGTAAGCAGCCGTGTTCCAAAGGCCCAGGGACAAGGAACTGAGGTGCTCGGTTGAACAGCTCTTCAGATGCTGAATTCTGCCAACACCCTCCGTGAATTTACAAGGGGATCATTTCCCTAAAGTGGGGCTTTCAAATGAGACCCAGGCACCAGCTGACATCTTAAAGGAGCCTAGTTAGAGGCCCTGAAACAGACGATCCAGTGAAGCTATCTATGTCCAAGCAACTGAGCCACAGAAACTGTGAAATAAAAAAGTGTGTTGTTTTAAATTACTTTTTGTTGTAATTTGTTGCATAGTAACAGATAACTTATATATCATTCTAGTTAGTGTTAAGATTGTCTAACACATATATATACATATATATGTATATTTGTGTATGTATTTATGCATACATAAATATATGCTTATGTATATATGTACATATAAATATATACGTATCTCCAGTTTGAATTCAATTTAATGGTTTTAGAATTTATCCATAATCCATAGAGAGGAATCCATGTTCCCAGATTATCGGAGAGTACTCATTAGTACATTTGAACCAATATGAGCCAATATAGATGTTGACAAGTGTATAAAATGAAGAAATAGACAATGTTAAGATTTAAAAAAAAAAAAAAGGAAACGTTAGGATTTTCAAATACTAGTCATGCTAAATGAGAAAAGTGAACCTGTATCAAAGTTTAGGAGGGATGTGAAACACTAGCAAAAACTCTGAAGGTCGAAGTGCCTGTTTGTTTTTCCTTAAAGCAACTTAAAAGTGGGCCAGTTTTGATAAGGATTTTTGTTGTTGTTGTTGTTGTTGCTTTTAATGTACTTATATTTCCATTATTCTTTTTTTTAACCAAAGTCACATGTTGTCTCAATTTGTATTTATAAGAACCAGATGCATTTTTTCGAAAAGGACCCCTGTGCTCGCTGGCTCCCTTCCTCAATCCTCTTACAGGTTCAGAAAGAGCCCCAATATTATATCATAAGCCATGAGGTAAAACCTAAATTGTAAGGAAATTGTACAAGGTAAAGCCTGCCAGTTGAAGTAATAACATAAAATACATTGGTTTAGAGGCTAGGCTTTTATTGGTTAATATTGTTTCTGTTATATTTTAAGAATATATTGTAATGAATGATTTAATTATACTTCTACCCGGAGGCTCACACAAAAGATGCAATTTTAAAATGCAACAAATGGATTAAATGGCTTGTGTGTGTGTATAATGTACACTCATTATGTGTCTTTGTGTGACAAGAAGAGTGGGTTCTGTGATTTGGTGGTTGATACTAGAATGTTCAACTTGACCTCATTCCATTTTTTTTCTCCTTGGAACTAGAGGACAGTGCCAAAAAATTTAAGTCGAAGCTTAAGCAGTTTCAGGATTTTTCTTTTGACTTATTAATAAGAGACAGCTGGAAAATTGGCTATTCTGGAATTTAATAGCAGAGTTCACCACCAAATTCACCCATGTTCCTTCAACTCTTACCCCATGTAGATAACAACAACAAAAAGGGCCAATTTTAACCTGAACATTAGATTCTGGGTCAAACAGGCACTCTTATGGTGCTTTTCCATATTATTCTGTATAGAGGCCTTTTCCTGTATAAATTGATAACTGGAAGAAGGTACCCAACTCATGAGTTCCCAAATGACTGTGTTCAGAATCCTTGGCTTGATTTGTTCAATCTCTAATTTAAAAATGCAAATGTAATAAAGAGAGTTAATGTGTCAGTATAGTTCTACTTAATATTGATGAGCTTAATGCAAGATGCATTTTTGAACCATTTAGACGAGACAGGTAGGGCTGGGGAGAATGTGCCTCTGGACAGAGTGGGATAAGAAGGCAATGATTATTTACAAGGGAGGAGTCCCAACAAATGTACAGGGACGAATAGCTTAAAAGCACAAGAATGGGAAAGGAAAACTAAGAGCAGGCCCATCAGTGCCTAAGTTTACATATCGGAATCTGTAACTACAGTCTTCCCAGGAAAAGAAACGAAAATGAATGGTGATGGGGGTGTGCAAATCAAACTTTCCCACATTTACAGATGCAATTTTTTAAAAGTTATTTTTTTAAACTTCGTATGTGTGTGCATGAAATCCTAAAATTCAAATAGCTACTGCCTCAATGGATTTTCTGATTGCAAAATTGTCTGTCAATTTTCTGATTGCAATAACTTCTGTCAAGCTGATCTTTCTCTCCCTTGTTTTGTTGGTGCTCTAAGCATATGCTTTGGCCAACTCTGACTACAAATATGTTATTGTTTCCAGTTCTTACAAACAAAATGCCCCAAACAAATTTTTTTGACTATTTATTCTGACTCCAAGCTACTATTTTTGTTATCTTTACCCAACACGTCCTCTAATATGTGGTCTATACAAAACGATTCCACTTCTTCATCAAATACTAACTTGTTCATTCCTCACAACTTTTCTACCCCATTGGTTGCCAGATAAACTATAGGATACCCAGTTAAATTTAATTTTCAGATAAACAACAACAATCCTTTTTTTTTTTAATATAAGTACAATATTTGCTAAATCTGGCAACCCTACCATCTTATACCTGAAAGTGTCCCTGACAAGTCCTCATGGACCATCCCATGCAATGACATGGCCAGAACTGGACTGTGCATGCAACATAGCATCTGGAGACCCATCTGCCCCATTTACTCTATAACT